TCAAGTTACTGAGTTAACAACTTACCCGTAAAAAACTTCCACGGGCCCATACGTGGGTACCACGCATACCCGAGAGCTGGGTTTGAACTCATTAAGACCTACGTGGGCGAGGAAAGTCCACTTAAATTTTTAGCCTTTCAGCTTCTCCGGTTCCCGAATTAGCAGATTGCCCGCAAAAAACTTTGGCGGGTTCGTACATGAGCGCCCACTTTGGGGACAGGGACCCGTACAAGCAAGCAGATTAAGTTTCCAAAGTTTCAGCCCTGTAGTTTTTGTAGATCTCGAGATGAAAAATCGGTACAGACGAAAACAAAGACACATATACACACAGAAAATCCCCGTCAATATGCGTTTTCTGCATTGCATCGATGCAAAAAATGCATAAAAATCGTCGACAAAACAAAAGGATTTACTCAACGACTGAAGGAGAAACTGAATTCCGAGAACAGGAACGTTTCTAGGATCTGTGCAACGATGTTCTCATTTACTATTAGCATCATCAGATGTCTGAATACCCAAAGAGAGAAAGCTGAAATTTTACCTTTGCGATTTCATTGCCAAGGTCATCAAAAGAACGCGGTACATAAGCACCAGCTTCTTTTAGCGCCAAATTTTTCGCGCTCGCTGTTTCCGATTTTGCATTTGCTGATGCACCTGCATGGCCAAACTGGATCTAAAATACATTCTCGGAATTATTATTTATACCTCTACATATGACATCAAACTGAATAATTGGCCAACGCACGGGCTTTCCGTGCGAAGATGCGTTTTTTGCATAGTTCCCCGCAGTTTTTATCGCTACCGGCATCGGTTTTTTCGGCAAATCCTTCTAGCTAAACAGAATAAGTTTCGGTCAGTTGTAGCATACGTATACAGATCATCGACTGGCCAATTTTGAAGTGCAGCGTTCATTGTTTTAAGAAATCCACAAAACTCAGTAAAGCTGTTTTTTGCTAAAATGATTATTTAAGATTATTTTTTTAAGCCATTTACTTTGGCAAACATCAATAACAAGCTGGTGTGCATGTTTGGTTATGCAAAATTTGCGGATAAGTAAAAATTTAACATCAAATTCAAACAAGCAAAAAAAGAGGTGTCCTTTAAAAAAAAAAATGTAATTTTAGATTATTTGGCAATAAACTTCTGGAAAAAATTATGGCGCCAATTATATATGAAAACAGCAATTTACCTCTGATGTGATGTAGTCAGCGCATGTTCCGATGCACCATGCAACCAGTGGTTTTGTTAGGCGTTTCTCTTTTAGAGCCTCAACAACTTTATACTCTTCGTCGCCTCCCAACTCGCCAAGCATTACCATCATTTTCACTCTTCAATTACAAAAAAAGAAAATCTTAAACAGTCAAAGTTAGTACTTATTTCTGGGCGACTTAATGCACCTCATACCGCAGTGAATGGATTTTTTTTTACTACAATAACTGCTTAAAAGCAAGCTGATGATGGTTCCCCGTTAAGAGTTAGGGGGAAAAATGAGCAAACCGGGTAGGGAGAGGGTTGTCCAATTCGCAAAAACAAACCCCCGACCTCTCGTCCTCTCCGCCGTGTTGGAGTGGTGCTACTCAACACTACAACAGATGTTTCCTGCACTAAAAACTTTCATAATCTTAATGAATTACATCTCCTTGCCCTCAAAAAAACACTAGGATCGCTAGTAGGCAGACCAGAAGAGTGATACAGCATTGGTCAGAGCAACTGGAAAAGCTGGAAGCTCAAGAGCTATACTTTTATAGTTCGAGAGCCATATTATTTTAAGTAGAACTGTCTCCCACAAGAATTCT